TTAATGATTTATGCATTTGTGATATAATTTTACTGATTTATGTAACTCGCATCAGTTATAATAGTATTTTTTATTAGATATCACGTGATATAATTCATGATTTTGATTGGTTGACAAATTGGAAAATTTGTGTAATAGAGGACGGTCTCTCTTAGATTCAGCGAGCTTGATTTTTTAAATATGTGTCACTTGTAGATCTGCATTTCCAGTTAGGTATAAAGTTGGAAATGCGCATGCGATATATCCTGGTGTCTGAAATTTATTAATGGGATTATTATTGATTTATGGCCTTGTAATAGGATTGTTTCTATTTTGAATACAGTTAAGGATATTTTTGATAATAGTATCTTCGAGATGAGCTGAAGGAAGAAGTAAAACAAAGATGCGTGTAATCACTTTATTTTCATTTTCATAATTCAACTCTTCAGCATTCATTTGAGTACCTCGAAGCTAATTATTAACTGAACTATCAACTGATAAGGATTGAAGAACTTCATAATCAATAATTATGTCAACATAGTAACAATTATTTTTCTTTAACCAATTTAATACGAGAACTACCTTAGCACAGCAAACTTTGAAATCCCTGAATGCTTCTGAGTTAGTTGCAGATTGATGACGTATAACAAGCACGTCTAATATTAATAGATGTCGAGAAAGTTTTGTGGCAATTTCCTAGACATTTTGCGGAAAGTTAATCATATTTCTATAATATCTGTGTTATCCTTCACGAAGTCTGTAAACTGACGTCACAGAAAAAACTTGCATAATCAACATCTTCTCAATTTCTGTAAGGTTTCAAAGTTCATCAGGAACTTCACCTAGGTTCATATTGTTTCCTGCTGAGAACTTTTTTAGAGAAGCTTTTTCAGCATGACAACGTTAGCATTCATCTTTTACAAGTTTTATAGATGAGAAGCACTTATTATATATAGAACAAAGAGAATGTTTGAACTTATCAATATTATTACGAAATTTCTTTAAAAGATCTCGTTCAAATTCACTTAGTTCGCTGACTGGAGATGGTTTGTTACGTGTATCTATGTCACAATTTTTTTGAGCCTTTTGCTGTGGTCATTATTGTTGTAATTCTGAATTTTGATTTAATTGATTTATTTTATTTTGGTTTTGATCAAAATTCTTTAAATAGGTCCTTCGTTCTTAAAAATTATTTAGACGTTTTTCATGCTATTCATTCATTTTCATTGCCAACTTTATACACTTTTGTTCTTTGTCACATGTAAGACGCATCTTATGTTCTTCTACATTTTCTCTCTTCTTTTTCGCTGCTTATATTTACAATTTCTTGTAAAACGTATTTCACATTCGCTTAGTGTTTCATTCTCTTTGGCTGTATACTTTTGAAGAGCATCGCGGCTTGTAAATTTATTATCCATTATGTATGCTAAGAGAATTTCTATTAATGGCTTATATTTAACTATCGTACAATACGATCAGCATATTAAATTACTGCATTTATTTTTTAGTATTATATTTTAGAATAAAATTATATAGTATTATGAAAATGTGCTAATTATGCTTAATAAATTAATTAATAAATTCAATAAAATATGAAAATCGTGTTAATTATGCTTAATAAATTATTAATAAATTTAATTAATTATCTGATTATATGATACTGATTTGAACTCTTTTTATTTTTAAAAAGTATATTTATTTATTTATTATTGCAACATATTGTAATTATTATTACAATTATTATGTTTTTATTATAATCCTTAAAAAAATAAGCCAAAATAGCTTAAGTTAAATTAAATTATCATTAGCTTTACACAATTTTTAATAGCTCCAATCTGATCTGATTTCCAATAGATTGTAATTTGTATGATCTAAATTTTATAATACATTTATAATTTAGTATATTTAGCATTTAAAAATTTCATATTTGCATTTGAAAAATTAATATATATAAACAGAATGGATTAATACAGAATTTTCTGCTTTAATATATACCATTTTTTGATTGGCTAAAAATAAATTTATGAAAATCAGATTGAAACAGAATTGAACAGATCTAATATTTACAAATCACTTTGGATTTACAACAATCTCCGTTTTCTAGTATTATTTTAATGCAAGTATATCACAAAAGCAATCACTGATTTTCTAAACTAATATTAGTATTTTAAAATAAAAAAAATTAATATTATCAAATGCTTCTTAATAAATAATTGTTATCAATATGTTTTTTTAATATAAAAACTAAATTTCTTATTTAGATTTGTTATTACAAAGGGTAAATTTCTTTGAGTTATAGATATCTATATTATAGGATTGTAAAAGTTAAATTCATCTATATCTTTACAATAAACAAATATTCATTAAGCAAGAATAATTTTAAATTGTTATTAAAAATTAATCAGTAAAAAGGAACTATTAGTTTGTAAAAACTTAATATTTCTAGTATTGTAAAATTAGAATCATTTAAAATGACTTTTATCCTATCATTCTTGTTTACTTTTCTTGTAACTTTCTTTCTCATCATCATTACAAAACCTGCATTATATATAATATAAATGAATGTTGGTAACTAGAGAATAAAACCAAAAACAATAAAGATGATATTACCTTTTTCTGGAATATGTATAAGACATCATTTGATGTAAAAATTGTTTAACATTTTATTCCTCTTTAGCCAATCAGATTGGATCAATCCATGAATATAAAAGACTTTGAAAGATTATTTTATATTCTGTAGTAATGTTGAAAGAGTTTAAGCTACAAGCAACAAGTCAATTATATTTGGATAAGTCATATGTAGAATTAGATTACTATGAAGGTCATATGATGAAGTATTATTAAATTGTTTATGTTTTTCATCATAGCAATATGTCTCTAATGAAGATTTATTAATATATGCTGAATCTACAAGAAGAATGAAGATAGTTTGTTAAAGTAATTTTGGATATTAATACAATATGAAACAGATATTAAATAAGAGAAAAGATATTCTTATCAACATGTAGTAATAAGCCTAAATTATTATCTTTTAACTCATTGACTAAACTATCTTCAAATGTAATATCTAGTGAAAGTGGAAATCCAAGTTCATATTTTATTTTACTATCTCTGTATACATGATTCTTAATCTATGAATAATATTGTCATGTTAATTATGTAAAATAGAATGAATATTAAGAATAATATTTAGAATTATACTTGAATTAATATTGTTCCTATTTTTATATTTTTATTACACATAATTAGAATAATTAAATCTATGCCTTTTTGATTTCTTTTACATAATATAGCATATTGTAATTTATAGATTGAAATAAGATCTTCTTTAACTAGTACATATGTAACTAGAATGAAATGTGTAAATCCTAACATAAAACCATTGAAATGAGAAAACTTTTCTTTTGGAAATGCATAACTAAGAAATTCTTGAAAGAAATCAATAACTGGAAATTGAGAAGAAAATGCCACCTATACATATAATAGTGAGGATGAGAACACAAAAAGTGATAATTAAGAAATGCTAGCTTATAAATACCTTAGAGTTTATTGACTTTTTTGAGGAGACTAGATAATGTCAGGTATTCAACAATAATAACCTTACAGCAAGCTCACCTTGAGTTCTAGCATCAAGAATATCACTTGATCGAAAAGTGTAATCTAATTCTTGAAGAACTTTTCAAATATTTCCCTCTAATATTAGTTTTAATAAAGCTTCTAAAAGTATAAATTCAGAAGGGTATGTAATAATATAATTTTTGTAATCTTTGTCAATTGCAATCAGAGTAGCCATGTATGCCTTAACAAGTTCTGATGTAATATTTGATGCTGGGGAGACATATAAAGTAGTAGTGCATGCAATTAATGCAAGAATAACAGTCCTCTTTTATTGACTATTAGATTTATCTCTATTTTAGCTAGAGGTACTTTCAAGAAGTTTGGCTTTTGCAAGATTTATTACATTATGAAATTTAAATTGATTATCTGAGTATTTGCAAGTTACCCAATTAGATGCCCAAAAAGGCCTACCAAACTGAATAATATTATGTGTTGAGATATCTTCATCATGTAGAATCTGATCTATGTCACTATATAAGATCAAGTTGTAAAAAAAAGTTATTAGAAGCAAATAATAATGCATGTAAACATTTCAAATAAAAGTGATGAGATATAATACCTTAAGTAATCCTGTGTTACTATGTAAATAAATGGTTTGTAAATATTATGATCATATTCCCTTGCCTATAAACCAAAAATTAAAAAACTTTAATAACTTGTAAAGTCTGTCATTTTGTCATAGAAATATTATTTTGTATATACTTACAGAACTATCTTTATTTTTTGATGATACAAGATTAGCAATAGAAGAATTTATATCAGTAAGAATGCCATAAGCATATTCTGAAAAAAAATATAAAGCTTGGCGAATTGCTCAAAAAGATTTATTATCATTGTCTTGATTATCTTTATAAGCTTGGTTTATTTTAATATCTATTAAAAAAATAAATCTTAATATAAGAATAAATCTTAACTTATTCTAAAATAAAAATAAAATTATACCAAGAAAGGCAGAAGATTCATCAAAATAATGGTTATTTTTTTTGTAATTTTATTATCAATTTTTTGAGCATCCCAATTTGGTTTTAAGATTTCTTTTGTTAAATGAACTTTCTTTCAGAAATTGTTTTTCAGTTCCTATTTTTAAAAAAAAAATTAAATAATAACATGTTAATCATATATCACAACATTAACAAAAAAAAATATATCATCTTACAATATTTATCAATAATTTTGAAGATTTCAATTTCATCTTATAAAATACAAATATTATTGATTTAAGCTATATTTTTACTATTTCTTTTACAATTGCTATATTTGTTACTTCTTTAATTTCTTTTAGCATAATATCACTTTTTAGTATTGCTAGGGAGTATTCAGTTGAGCCTTTATTATGAAAATATATATATATTAAAGGGTGTGATTTTGCAAGCTTATATATAGACCTTGTTTTGCCATATTCTGATAATTGAACAACAGGTAAGTAATTGTAATAATTTTTAGGAGATTTGGAAACTTTGTTTAATTGATTTTTTAAAAATGACATATAATTGACATAGTCCTTGAAATCAATTTGAAAAGCATGATTCAGATTTGTATAAAATATCAGTTAGTATCAACAATTGAGTAGGGTTAAAGAAACAAAATGTTATTGAAGATAAATCTGAATCCTTATATAATTCTTTATTTCTAGGTTTCTCTTTATTTAGATTATCAACTATAATTATAAAAGATGATGCAGGTTGATAAAAAAAAGCACAGATTAGCCAATATTGCAAACAATATACCAAATGTCTCATGAATGAATAAATAAATAAACAAAATAGAATGAATGAAAACTAATTTTTTTTTACGCAATTTGTTCGTTATCTTTCCCTTCTCCAAATTCAACTAGTTTCTTTTGTAAGTACTCCACCTGATTTTTCCACTTTTTCTTCATCTTCAACAACCTCTCTTTCTTCTCCAGTCTTTTCAGCTGTCTTTTGTTATCTTCATCAAGCTGCTCTTTTCTTTTCACCTTTCCTTTCAAGTCTTCCAATCACATTCT